AGAACGGAAAAGGTGCCCTACTAACCAAGGAAAATATGTCTATATAAATATTACTAAAAACTATAACTAAAAGAATTCCATGTGATTCCAATAGAAAAATAGATAACTGATAGTGTTAAATGTGTAAAACGTATGTTTTTGGTTTTCAAGAAATAAACTACGAGGGAGAGTTGTTTATTGTACGATAAACAACGTCCATGAGTTGTATGTGTGTGTGTGTGAGAGAGAGAGAGAGAGAGAGAGAGAGAGAGAGAGAGAGAGAGAGAGAGAGAGAGAGAAAAGTGTGTGTGTATGTGTGTGTGGGGGGGGGGGGGGGGGGGGGAGTTTGGTAGTTCCTGAATATCCTCACAATCCTCACGGCAATTATCCCAATTGCGATATCTCGGCCACTGCGTAAATGAGGGAGGGAGGGAATGTTGAAATTTACTGTACAGACGTAGGTAATTTAAAACACTCCACGGATTTCTGCGTGAAAAGTAATTGATTGATTTTTGGCCCTATTTACGACTTTTTGTAGGGACTATCACGCCGTCGGCGCGTGGAGGGTCATGACAATAACCTTAATATATACTATTCAAAAGAAGTTAAAGAACACCCGAATCTTTCATATGACTATGGTTCATCAGTCATGAGAGTGAGTGAGTGAGTGAGTATGGTTTTACGCCGCTTTTAGCAATATTCCAGCAATATCACGGCGGGGGACACCACAAATGGGCTTCACACATTGTACCCATGTCGGGAATCGAACCCGGGTCTTCGGCGTGACGAGCTAACGCTTTAACCACTAGGCTACCCGACCGCCCTCATCAGTCATTAAAGAAAGCGATAGAGCGATAAAAGTGATAAAACGATAAAACGATAGCTCGAGACGAGACGGATAATGAGACTTAGATGTTTACATTGCGTCGGCAATATTGCTGCCATAAAGCCATATACTTACATAGATATATAACATAGCTACGCGACAAATCGCAAAGAACAATGAAGAACGAAGCGTGGTTTATTTCACGATAAAACATTGATCAATTGAACAATTTCAAAATATTGCAAATATTTAAAATTTTGCAAATATGTCTTAGGTGTTAGTTGTAATTGCACTAATGTTGCTATCCTAGCACAATGTGGTAGACACTATATTTTTTGTTGATTCTTTGTCGAGAATACATTGGTAAATACTGGCTTTGACTTCTTGAATCACCAGAAAGTAGATGTCCAAAACAGTGTTACCTTACGTTGTACAAATATGAACAGGAATATCATATTAGAACGATATTGTTTAGATTCGGATATGGTTTTGTTTGGGAAGCACGTGCACAGGGGTTGGCAATTAAGAAACATTTTTGTTTGAATTTGAAACAAGAATAAAAAATTGCCACGTGCAATCTGTATTCTTGGATATTTCCAACTGTTCATCATTGGATATTTATTCTGAAATTAAACAATCGTTCTCTATAGAAACCTACATGTTCAACATAAAATCAAAAGATGCACGGCTTAGAATTACTTTATAAAGGATGGGCGAAGTACCTATTTACAAAAAAATATTAGTAGGAGTGATGCTATTCCTCGTCAAGGTCGTTTTTTTAAAATATGTAATTCAAATAACGTGGAAGATGAATATTACTTACACAGTGACTATAAATGTCCAGTATATCAAGATCTTCGTCATAATCATTAAAATAAATTACTTTCACACATCAATGATAACTTCCTAGTTCATTTCTTACAATGCAGTAATCTGCGTCGTTTATTGTCTTACTCAGATTACATTAGGGGTGCTTTACTTATACGCTGTTCCTTTCTAGAGTAACATTGTTTTTTTGCAGCAACTCTTGTTGCATGTATTTTCAAAATTGACATTTTATGTACGTGGGCCTAAGGCCTTGCTTCTGAATAAAATGATTATTAATTGATTGATTGAAACATGTTCTATCATGACGTCATGTCTGGAGAATCGAATTTGCGCTCGTAACTTATTGGACAACATTATTTTTGAGACGGAAGTGTCTCGAGTGAGTTGTTTCCCACAGATGTAGCTGCACAACGCAGGTGAACGCAATGGCTGAACGATCGCACCACAAATTTGGAGAGATATGACAATCGGTATTTGGAGAGATATGACAATCGGTATTTGGAGAGATATGACAATCGGTATTTGGAGAGATATGAAAAGCGGTATTTGGAGAGATATGACATTTGGTATTTGGAGAGATATGACAATCGGTATTTGGAGAGATATGACAATCGGTATTTGGAGAGATATGACAATCGGTATTTGGAGAAAATGTGCAGATACTCGACCTGAAAAGTCCAATACCAAACTTAACCCCCCTGTACATGAAATGGCGTTGTCCGACATTGTCGAGGTTGGATTCTATTCAGGGAGTCAACATTATTTAAATACCGCTGTATTTTTTAAAAGCTTGTACATTTATTGACATCCTCAAAAAGGCTGTACAAATTGTTGATATCTCATATAAGAAATAAACGACTCGTGGTCGTTGTTCGTCGTACCATTAAAAGCTGCAAGGAGAATAAACCACTCGGGTCTGCGCCCTCATGGTTTATTCTCCCTGCAATGTTTTATTGTACGATAAACAACGACCACGAGTCGTTTATTTCTTAAATAAATCTTGTATTATGTCACATTTATGAAACTAGTTTTAACAAACCGTCATTTAAATGTGCAAGCCTAATTTATTGCCTACAACTTGTTTCACTGCGAACTATGTTGAAAGTGGAGTGTTACTATGACAACGGTTGTATTTATAAGCATGTATGTATGTATGTATGTATGTATGTATGTATGTATGTATGTATGTATGTATGTATGTATGTATGCATGCATGCATGCATGTATGTATGTATATATGCTCTTTTTGAAATAATGTAGGTTCACGATCAAAATTAAGTTAAACTGAAAAGTTCCCGCTTCCACATGCATTTAAATATTCGCTGAGTGGAACAGAGCGGTCGTGTGGCTGCTTTGTTTGTGAGCGGTGAAGATTCATTCTTTTTTTCAAATTTAAATTCGGTCTTCCCGATATACTTTTCATTGCACCCACAACAAACAATCAAGTAAATAACATTTCTATTATCCCAAGTCATATTTTGTTTTAAGGTAAATTTATTGTCCTTTGTAATTTGGACTGAACAGCCTTTTAATAATATAGCTGCAAGTAAGGCAACATTGGAAATCGCTCTTAGAAACCTTTGGAGTAACGACAACAGAATCACATTTAGAACTTGTCAATACTTTTCTAAGACTTTGTTTGGTTGTCTCTGGCTGTTGATAAGTTTGTTTTTGCTCAACGCCTTCTCCACCATAGTACTTTGATTCAAAATAGGCAGGTATCGTTGACCCATTTGTTTTTCATGATTTGCGTTGATGGTAGATACTAGCGTCAAATTGTTCCCCACATTGTTTTCTTCAGACTTTTCTATAAGCTTTGGTTGCTCATTATCAAGCGCCTTGCGTGTGCTATCGTCAGTTAGCTTTGCCGGATAATTTTGATGCAGTAGGAAACTCTTAAGGTTGAGCAAAGCGGGTAGTTTTAACATCATTCCCGGAAACAATGGTACAAATACGTCTTGCGAGACAGTAAAGGATATGACGTTTTGTATGACACGGGTGACATGATCCCAAATCCAAATATTGGTGCGTATCAGATATGAAAGATATCAGTTTGGACAAATCCACCAGATATTAAATTGATTCTTATATCGAGAAATGTTAAACTGAATTCGCTTTTTTCCATAGTGAAATTGCGTGACGCGCAAAGGGAGATTAACATTTCATGAATAGCTGTAAGTTGACTTTCACTGGATTTTAATTTGATGAAACCGTTGTCTAAAAACCCTTTCCACGAATGTCCAATTTGTTCTTTCATAGATTCTCCAAGAATATCTTTCAAATTATCATAAAACATATTCTCTAAAAATCCCCAAACAAGGGTTGCATAAGTAGGGGTTGCCTTAGTACCCATGGCTACACCTTTCTTTTGGGAATAGTAAGATCCATCAAAATAAAACATGTTATTGGTTATAACCAATGTCAATGCATCAGTGATAAACTCATCCGAAAATCTTTCTATTTCATGGTGGTACTCTTTCAGCCAGACTCTACAGCTTCCAATCCGAGCTCAGTTTCAATATTACTTTACAAACTTACGACATCCAAACTGACTAACATCGATCCGTACGGTACCTCAGTAGGTTATTTACATAAAAAAATCAATGTCATCTCTGGGAAAACCTTTTACATGTTTAAGAGGGCTTAAGAATAATGTCTATGAAATTGCTAAGACGCTGAGTACAGCTCTCGGGTTCTCCCACAATAGGTCTAAAAGATCAATCCTCTGGATTCGTGTCCGTTACAGTTATGGCCTGATGGGACTTGTACGTGGTACGTTCTGAAAACGCTAGTTCAGTTTTACTCCACTTAATTATTTATATAGTAGCAATCTTCAGTAACAGTTGAAAAATAACACATCTAAAATATTTACACACACACACAAACACACACAAACACAGATTGAAAAGCGCTCGTTAAATTTACTCCACTTATTTATTTATACATATAATGACGTAACACTAAACACAATGTCATAGCTGAAGATTCTTGACGTCATTCAACATTGAGGATTTCTGAGGTCAAGATCAGTGCATTTTTCTGATGGAGAGCTCAAAAGGATTAAGAAATAATTGACACTAAAGAAATTATTACACTTGCATGTGTGCCATATTGATTTTACGAAACTCATGTGAGAATTCATGAATTACACCTAGCTCTCGCTTCGGAAATAAAAGAATTCGGACTATCGTTTCGTATAACACACATGCTCGCATACTGATCTCTGTCTATCAACCACGAGGGAGGTAAAAAAAGTAATAATAAGGTGGTAAAGTTGGGTATGGGTGGAGAGGGGGGGGGGGGGGGGGGGGGGGGGTCAAGCGTGGGAAGGCACGGCGTCGGCTGGCGAGCTGGAGTGGCGAGGAAGCTACTGTTTGTGCCCAGCCAGGAGCCTCCTGGCTAGGTCGAGCTCTCCAGGAGGAAGAGCTCTAAACAGTGAGTTGGTGAGGCGGGCGGCGGCGTTGGTGCTGAAGAGCGGTGGGACTGGGAGTTCACAGTCGACCAGGAAGTCCGAGAGATCCTGGAAGCTGTGAATCTCATGCTCAAACCGCTCCTGTCCCCAGAACTGCACCAGCACCAAGGGTGGGCGTGGGCGGTTGCTGGGATACAGTCTGCCGTTGTCATGCTGGTAGCAGGGGTTAGGGAGGACCTCGTGCTGTTCCAGGATGTGCTGTGCCTGTTGTGCAAGGAGGAGACGGTCGTCAACCTTACTCTCTTGTTCTGGGACTGGGTCAGTCTGGACTTGGCTGGAGTTGAGGGGCGGGCCTGGTGGTGTGGCGGTCTGGGTCTCCGAGTTCCTGCTTGGTGGTGATGGAAGAGGGGGAGAGTCGGGGGAGAAGATGCTTTTCCTCTTTCTCTTCTTTCTTCCGTGTCCTGTCCCTTCCGGCGTGCGAAAGGGCTCCTCCCCTCTGGATTCGAGGGTAGCGAGTTCCAGTGCCACTGAAGGGGGTGGAGGGGTGGTGGGAAGGCTCTCCTGGATCTCCATGGGGGGAACTGGTGGAGCCTTCTTCACTGTGGGCGGCCTGGCCTTCTGTACCGGGCGTGGTGCAGCAGGGGCAGGGGCCGGGGTCTTTTTCTCCTTAGGCTTGGTCTTGGCCGGAGCTTTGACCAGAGGCCTTTTCCTTTGACCTAAGTCGAAGGAGATGGAGAGGGTGGAGGAGTTGGACTTGTACGAAGTCCGTAGGGAGTAGTCCCCGACCCTGTAAGCCAGCAAGGGCTCCAGGATGGCGACTAGCTCCCTAGGTAGAGATAGAGCGATATCCCTCATGGTGATAGCTTGGGTTGCGAGCAAGGAAGGACACGTCTGCACAGGGCGAGTGTCCGAGTGTCACCGTATCTCGACTCTACTTTTGTACTGGTCTAGTGACCGCTCCGGGCCCCCGCTTTATTTCCGACACCGCTCGGAAAAGTCCGGTGGTCCTCGTTGTTTGGTGTCATTGCATTCTAAGTTAGAGATAAAGTTGTCCGACTATTCATATTGTTGTGATTTAATGGCACACTCATACCACGTACTGACTTGATATTTGTTATCTCCTATGTGTCGCTACCTTATTCATGTATTGTTTGTTTGTTTGTTGTTTACGCCACACTCAGCAATATTCCAGCTATATGACGGCGGTCTGTAAATAATCGAGTCTGGATCAGACAACCCAGTGATTGACATCATGAGCAATTGGGATACGATGACATGCATCAACTAAGTCAGCGAGCCTGACCGCTCGACCCCGCGCGCGGTTGCTGAAGACCAATTAAAATCGCCTCTTCACGGGCCATGATAGGATTCGCAGTTCGAATCCGACCAGGATATGATCTTTAGACTGTCTTCACCTGACCGATGCTGGTCGGCTTCGCAAGTGGTCAACCTCCAAGTCATACGTTACTGTACGCTTCCACCCATGACCCGATGGTTGAGACACGAATACGTACATACACCCAAACAAAAGTGTCAAAACTTGTGGTGTCGCCCCGGGACTTAGTTCAAATGTGCCTATGTTACCCAGCAGAGAATGGGTATACGTACCCGATATGTGAGGTGGATGTAAAACACCTTCTAGCGCCCCTAGGCAGCTTGGGTTGTATACTACCCAGGGAGTTGACTTTGTGATATGATGAAATTTCCAGACGTTATTTGGAAGAAAAGAGGTGAAAACCTTATTTATTTCAATAAAATCAACAATATTGAATATTTCTGAGCGAATTCAGCGATCAGATCCGATGATGCCTTGAACGGCAGTTTCCACGTCAAGGCCTGATGTATTTCACTTCCTGAATGGAGATATCATTGTTGATGATCAAACGATCTGGGTTTATGTCGAGGAAGTTGTCGGTTTGCTCACAGACGAAGTTCCCGTCCAAGCTCACCTGAAATGACGATATGAAGGGGCCATTATACACAGACAACTACTATCGTAGGCTGGAAAGATGTTCATGTAAAGATGCTATGCAATGATCAGACGTAATCTCACGTATGACTGACGCAATATGAATTAAATGAATCTCAAAAGGTATCAGAGGTTTTCACCAATTATTGCTCTGAGTGAAGATCGCGCCGGGTGAACAATCTAATCGGTCAATCAACGTTAAGGCTCCAAATGTTCAGTCGAGTTAGCGAAGCATTCGTGCAAGCATATCGAATTTGTGTATCTCGAAATCAAATATAATCATGAAGTTTTGAATTAAAAAAATAAAGAAGAGCTATTACATTGTTGTGGAGAGTTTATACACTGGCATCTTCTGCCCATAATGTGTGCTAACGAAGGTATATTTGTGTTCTGTGGCGGTTTTCTGTGGCTTAGATAAAACAATCGAATCGAAGTGATAAAGATATTAGGCCGAATCGTTTTCGAAAATTGACATCTGATTGTCTCAAGAATCCAATCCTTCATTTAGATTGGGCTGTCCAGTTTTCTCAGGGTTTACCGGACGCGCCTTTACAATGATTTAACACTTCTGCAACATGGCGACAACGAACAAAGAGAGACAACTCATTCCAGAGCAAGAAAATGCTTAGACAAATGCACCAAGAAATACATAAGCCATCTATTACCCACCACCTAACCCAAATGGTTTGTTTGTTTCTAACGCTACTCCAGAAAAAAAATCGAGTCTGCATCTGACAATCCAGTGATTGACATCAAGCGCATCGGTCTACGCAACTGGGATACGATGACATGCATCAACCAAGTCACCGAGCCTGACAATCGATTACGTAAGACGCCTTTTACGACAAGCATGGGTTGCTGAAGATCTATTCTTACTGGGATCTTCACGGGGTCCTAATCGTATGCATGAACGTTTGGTGTAAGAAAAGTGAACGAAACGTTCCCCAACCTTGTATGTTTGGACGTCCCGTGCTATCTCGGCCCGGAATGTAGTACCGACGGCAAAGGGAAAGGTGTGGACTTTGGTGCCCGACAGGTAAATGTTTTGCTGCTTGGAGGAGCTGTTGAAGCGCACGTCCATGTTCAGTAGCACAGAGTTGTCGGACAACAGGACCATTTCAAATCTAAATCAATAAAACAAGAAGACAACTGTAGGTGTTTTCAACTACTTACTAAAACAGAAGCAGCCCATTTATGACATTTGTTCAAAGCTTCTGAAGTCGTTGAAAAAAAATCCTTTGATACCGATATATCACTGATGACACCAAGTGTTCGCGATAAGAGTAATCATGTTCTGCCCTACCGATAGCACCCCCCATTGACACAATTTGCATAAAAAAGTCAGTATTTATTGCCTGACGCCGCACAGCAGTACTCCATGGATCCATGAACCAGAAAGTGAGTGAGTGAGTGAGTTGGGTTTAACGCCTCTTTTAACATTATTCCAGTTATATCACGGCGTGTCAGCTTAATCTGGGAGGAAAGCCCGAAGTGATGCAGGTCTCAGACGTTTACCACTTCGGTGAAACCCACGAGCACGGGTATGGTGCTGACAAACCTAGAAACATAATCGGGGCGAACATCATAGGTTTCTGGCGTACCCAAGGGACGCAACTCTGCACAGCGAATCGCGGCGCCTTAGACGACTGGGCCACCCGTGCCCCCTGAACCAGTTGGCCATGATGTGTGCAGAGTGTGTAACACATGAATGTGTGACTGACTTCATTAAATGATCTTATGTGACTGACCGTGTGCTGGCGGTGGGCGTGGCGATGATCTCGACCCGGGACCCCACTGTCATCCCACAGGGGATAGCCGCCTCGAAGTTGACCGACTGCAAGTGAAAGGACTACAGACGTGCGTGACATCTCGGATTCATGTGTGGAAACAACAGCTGGCTTGAATAACCGAACGTTCTTGTAAGTTTTGAAATCAATAGAAAGGTTGCCGTAGCTCGATTCCCCACATGGGTACAAAAACGTTAGGCCTCTCACTTGCTATCATTCACACTTGATATAAACCTATACTGAAGAAGTTGTCTTTACCATATCTAGAACCGCGTGGTGAAGTAGTGTTTGCTGTATCGGGAACCCCGTGGCGAAGTAGTGTTTGCTGTATCGTGAACCGTGTGGTGAAGTAGTGTCTGCTGTATCGGGAACCGCGTGGAGAAGTTGTGCTTGCTGTATCGTGAACCGCGTGGTGAAGTAGTGTTTGCTGTATCGGGAACCGTGTGGTGAAGTAGTAAATGCTGTATCGTGAACCGCGTGGCGAAGTAGTGTTTGCTGTATCGGGAACCGCGTGAAGAGGTAGTAAATGCTGTATCGTGAACCGAGTGGTGAAGTAGTGCTTGCTGTATCGTGAACCGAGTGGTGAAGTAGTGTTTGCTGTATCGGGAACCGCGTGGTGAAGTAGTGTTTGCTGCATTAGGAACCCCGTGGTGAAGTAGTATTTGCTGTATCGTGAACCGCGTGGAGAAGTAGTGTTTGCTGTATCGGGAACCGTGTGGTGAAGTAGTAAATGCTGTATCGTGAACCGAGTGGTGAAGTAGTGCTTGCTGTATCGTGAACCGAGTGGTGAAGTAGTGCTTGCTGTATCGTGAACCGCGTGGAGAAGTTTTGCTTGCTGTATCGCGAACCGAGTGGTGAAGTAGTGCTTGCTGTATCGAGAACCGCGTGGAGAAGTTGTGTTTGCTGTATCGGGAACCGCGTGAAGAGGTAGTAAATGCTTTATCGGGAACCGCGTGGAGAAGTAGTGTTTGTTGTATCGGGAACCGCGTGGCGAAGTAGTGTTTGCTGTATCGGGAACCGCGTGAGGAGGTAGTAAATGCTTTATCGGGAACCGCGTGGAGAGGTAGTGTTTACTGTATCGGGAACCGCGTGGCGAAGTAGTGTTTGCTGTATCGGGAACCGCGTGAAGAGGTAGTAAATGCTTTATCGGGAACCGCGTGGAGAGGTAGTGTTTACTGTATCGGGAACCGCGTGGTGAAGTAGTGCTTGCTGTATCGTGAACCGATAGGTGAAGTAGTGCTTGCTTTATCGAGAACCGCGTGGAGAAGTTGTGTTTGCTGTATCGGGAACCGCGTGGCGAAGTAGTGTTTGCTGTATCGTGAACCGCGTGTTGAAGTAGTGTCTGCTGTATGGAGAACCACGTGGCGAAGTAGTGTTTGCTGTATCGGGAACCGCGTGTTGAAGTAGTGTCTGCTGTATGGAGAACCACGTGGCGAAGTAGTGTTTGCTGTATCGGGAACCGCGTGGTGAAGTAGTGCTTACTGTATCGTGAACCGCGTGGAGAAGTTGTGTTTGCTGTATCGGGAACCGCGTGGCGAAGTAGTGTTTGCTGTATCGGGAACCGCGTGAAGAGGTAGTAAATGCTTTATCGGGAACCGCGTGGAGAAGTTGTGTTTGCTGTATCGGGAACCGCGTGGCGAAGTAGTGTTTGCTGTATCGAAAACATCCAGCTCCTTTCCCCAGCCCCCAGGGAAACAGCTCTGCAAATCAAACTTGTGAGCATTGTGTCACTGACGCCCGCTTCTATTGAACCATTGGTAATTCACATGTATATCACACATTACCAAGCTTTACTGACCGGGTTTATCCATAGAGCCCTGTTACATTGGCCGTTGAGTCCATTCCACTCGCCCGTGCTGGAACAGCGTTGCTTGGCACTACTCCCACAGAACAGGAACCCAGGCCTACAGGTATACTTGGCCCTTGCTCCCACAAACTGTCCTTCAGAGGATACATCTGCGTTAGCCAAGGGAGGAGGGTTGTTGCATACCTTTAGCTCTGCAATAAAGGGGGACAGTCGGTTAAACTGGGGTTTTAAATACGACATGACAAACCAGTGATTGACATTATGAGCAAAGATCCATGTGGGCGGGGTACGATCACACCCACGTAATCCAAGTCGCCGAGCCTGACCACCCGATTCATTCAATCGCCTCTTACGACTAGCACAGGAGAGGGCCATTACCTATACGTTATGATTAGTTGATAAGATGTCATCGGGGATCCCGAGATTTCATTGTATTTATGTTGCATGTGCGGCACATGTAAGATTTGACCGACCGACGTCATGGACGTCAGGAAATGTGACGAGTGATCGAGAAGATATTAATTGAATACTAGTTATCGAATCTGGACAAGGCAAACAAATAATTGTAAACGTTAGCAACGATCCACCAAGTTAACCAACCATCATCCTCCACAACTGACTGGAATGGTGCCTACATCCTGCTTAGAGGCAACGCTTGACTTTAATGTACAGAGGGCAACAATCAGGGTATTTCTTGAATTGGAATATAAAACATCAACGCTAGAGAATAACCGGTCTCGATTATCCTACGATTCCCCCGGCGTAAAAGACAAAATAGCCCAATGAGATACCATGCCGCAGTTTAACATGAATACCCCACCCAGACACAGTATGTTGATTCTAGTCAACTTGTCCATGTCTCAGCCCCTTACAACAGAGTGTCAGGCAGGGTAATAACAAGTACCCTCTTTTAACGTCTTTTGGTGTGACGCGATCGGGGATCGGACCTCGTACCTTCCGCTCTCCGGGCAGACGCTCTACCACTAGACCACGGAGGCGGTCTCACCGTGGAAAGCCAAAACGGATGAACATTACGTCTTCAGCGTGGCGAGCGAACGTTTTTAACCACTATGCTACCCCAACGCCCCGGGACATTATCAAATAATGCGACATCTCTAACATTATCTGGAACCACCAACCGCACTGATGATGGAATAATGGAAACTTAATACACATAATGTTATTGGACGAGTTTATTTATGGTATGCTTTCTGTCGCTTTTGTCTCTTTGCAAAGTAACGGCAAGCGAGATGAAAATAGACACACGCAAACTCCTACATACAAGACAATCTGGGTGATACCAACATATATACACCTCGTCATAAATATCGCGCCACACATTTTAAAGTAAAAGTAGAATTTAATTTTCGTTTTTTTTAAACTTCAAGTACATATTTCATTTACTACACCATCTGTGAACATAATATCACAAACACACCCTTTTCCGAGCTGCACGTGCATTCTTGCGTTGAGCATGCTTGTACCGGGGGTCGGTTTGCAAGAAATCCACTGGTCCGATGAAAGCAGATTTTTGCTGCATCATACAGACGGGAGGGCATGAGTTTGGAGGCAGAGAGGCACAGCATATGATCAGAGGAACGTTCAAGCTGATGTTCCATTTGGGGGTGGATCCGTCATGGTGTGGGGGTGTTGTTCCTACGATTGTAAACTTGACCTCATCACAGTTCCCGGAACACTGAATGGAGAGAGGTACCAGAACTTGATCCTGAACGGTGCTGTTGTGCCTCATTTCGATAACCATGCTCTCGCCATCCGTCCAGTCTTCATGGACGATAATGCCAGACCGCATCGTGCTGGAGCTGTTGTTCAGCATCCCCCACACAACGCCATTGAGACACTACCCTGGCCTGCCAGAAGTCCAGACATTAATCCTATTGCGCATTTGTGGGACATTTTGGGACGTAGGGTGAGAGCAAGGGATCCTCGAGTTCAGAACCTTCAGGAATTGACCCATGCATTGCATGATGAGTGGCAGCAGATTCCCCAACAGAGATTCAGACGTCTGGTGACCAGCATGAAACGGCGTGTAGAACATGTTATCCAAGTGCGAGGCGGTTACACCAGATACTGAGTTAGCCAGTCATTGTGGACCTAACTAGTGTGTTCGACATTAATGAAATGTGAACTGTGTTGTGTGTCTGTTGTAACGACTCCGGCAGCCATACTTATGTCACCTTATTTCACGGTGATTTTAGTGAACTTGAGTTTGCTACAATTAAACCCTCAATTAGTGCTCAAATTCGGTCTCGTGTTGTCGATTTTCTGACTGAACGCTCACATGAGGCCATATAAACAGTTTTATGTGCTTTTCTAAGCACCATTTTTATGAGGTTGAAGATCCAGTTTTACTTAGTGAAAAAAAAGTGGGTGGTGCGATATTTATGACGAGGTGTATACTATCATACCAGCTGACCTACATTAGACTTGTGGTCACCAGGTTGTAGATTATGTCTGGAATATTGACCACCTGGTCAGGCTGATTCCCAGCTGTGACCTGGCCTTCTAGGGACATGATCGGGTGGCTTTCTTTCACCTATATATGGTGTCCAGGAAAATACCTGTACACCCCATGGGGTGCTGGGTTAGAATTGGTCCCAAGGATATACCCGTTGTAGGTGGCGACTTAATAGATTGGGTTGTCGGGTTCTGTTACTGTTGATTGCTATCATCGTACCCCTACAGCGTGGATCGTGGCTCATAATATGAATCACTGGATTTTCTGGCCCAGACGCGATTATTTACATACTGCTGTTAAATAGCTGCAATAGTCCTGAGTGAGGCGTTAAACAACAAACAAACAAACAAACAAACAAAGCACCGGTACACATGTTTAACGTCGTAACAAATTCAAATAAACAAACTTGAAAATGTATATTGTTTTTTTGTTAGTCGTTTAACGCGGCAGTATTTCAGCTATATGACGGCTGTCTGTAAATAATCAAGTCTGGACAAGACAATCCAGTGATTCACATCATGAGCATCGATAGCATGCATAAACCAAGTCAGCGAGCCTGACCATCACCCCGCTAGTCTCGTCTTACGACAAGCATAGTCACCTTTTTACACCAAGCATGGGTTGCTGAAGACTGCTGATTTTCACGGGTCGAAAATGTATATTGACAGAAGATGAATCCTTCAATCTGGTGTCTGAACCACCGACTTCTGAATGCCTATCATTAAAGAACTATACAGATCAACCTTAAATTACTAATGTGTACTTATTGGTGTAACCAACACATTGACTGCAGCGACCGAAATGTCTACATGGTTAAAAAATAAAAAAATATAAAAATAATTTATTTTACTGGCACTTCAAATGGTATACACATTAAGACGAGAAGCGTTCGTAGGATATCAAGTATTATATAGTATGCTAAATTTAGATCCTTCACAGGAAAGAGAAGATACGGTTAAAATAATGCTATTTTATGTCTACAGAAGGAGGACCGACAAACACTTTTCTATAATCATAAGACATCTCTGCTAAAAGCAGAATCCCTCTCTCTGTATATTAACAGAGAGTTTGACAGAACACGCACAGCATTGCGGCAACTTCGGATTCTTGTAGTCTTTTGTTGATATAAATAGAGTAACGAAAAATTTAGTTATAAAACAATGTTAATTAAATTCCTAAATGGTTAAGGAACCCTTCGGGCACAGAGGGTAGAGTAGTGTTGATTGTGGATAAAAAAAGCAAAAAAGCATGTCATCAACCTTAACGACACAAAGACAAAAGCTACAGTGAATAAGATCAACATGAGGAGATCGGGAAATCCCTAAACGGCTCACTACAGAGAGTTTCCATTGGTTGTTCTACGCATCAATCCGTAACGTTCCGGGTATGTGACGGTGGAATGTATAGAATCAAGTATTGACCAGTAATTGGCATCATGGGCATCGATCCACGCAAGTTGGATATGCTTATAACCCGATCCATTTCGTCGTCTTTAACGTCAAGCATAGGTTGCTCTATTCGTACCCAGTATCCCAACGGGTTTAAAGATTTCGACCACAATAAACAGGAAACAAAGGATAATGAAATTGAACCTCATAGAAGCGTTATTGCCATGTGGCTGAAACGTGGCGCTTCCATTTCCGTTAGACTGGTCTTGTGACAGATCTACGAATACAACGAATTCAGTGAGTGGGTGAGTTGGGTTTAACGCCGCTTTTAACAGTATTCCAGTTATATCTCAGCGTGTCAGCTTAATGTGGGAGGAAAGCCCAAAGTGATGCAGGTTTCAGACGTTTACCACTTCGGTGAAACCCACGAGCACGGGTATGGTGCTGACAAACCTAGAAACATAATCGGGGCGAACCGGGATTCGAACCCACAATCATAGGTTTCTGGCATGCCCAAGGGACGCAACTCTGCACAGCGAATCGCGGTGCCTTAGACGACTGGGCCACCCGTGCCCCCCTCACTGTCCCTAAGACACATTCACATTTTAATATCCTGTATTAAACGCTATTTGTATGGTAATAAATAAACAGTGTGAGTAAGTTTGCTTTACGCCACTTTTAGCAAAATTGAATATTCCAGCAATACTACGACGGGGACACCACAAATAGGCTTCACACATTCTACTAATTTTCGGAATCGAACAAGGGTCATCGGCGTGACGAGCGAACGCTTTAACCAATAGGCTACCTCGCCGCCCCCCTTGGTATTAAGTGTTTACATTGTAAAAGTACACGTCAAATGCGAGTCTAGCAAGCGCGATGAGCTGAGCTTTTCTGATAGTTTGTGAAATAAATATTGCCCAATGTATTTCCCGGATTGTCCACAGTGGATATCGTAAAAGGTGATCAAACGGATCGGGTTGTCAGGGTGCCGTGAAAAATTTGGAAGTTAATCACTGGATTGTGTGGTCGAGACCCACTTACATACAGACCGACGTCATATATATGGAATATTGCTGAGTGTGGCTTTAAACCACAAACAAACAAAACAAAACAAAACAAACATCATAATGTTAAACCTGTGACATCATAATGTTAAACCTGTGACATCATAATGTTGAATAACAATTAAGTTACCTGGAAAGCACCCCACCAACAGAGCCGCTGACGTGTCGCCCTGTGTTGCCGTGCACTGGCTGTTGTCATCTGGACTTGTTCCATCCAGACTAAATGTCAGTGAGTCCAACTCCACTCCATACAGGTCAGCATGGTCTGCCGTCACTGTCAACGAATAATTTCCTGCAGCAAGTCTTCTTTCAACTCCAATGTTTACAACTTCCAAAATATTATTCCACAATTCACCATTTCCAGACAGTTCTCGTGTTTCTACCCTTCCAATCTCTCTGTCATTAACAGAGATGGTTATGAGATCCTTCAGGCCATCATTGGAGTATCGCATTTTGTCCATCCTAAATGTTTTTTCTTTCGTCAAGCATAGATCATATGTCAAGGACTCAGTGTTGTAAAGAGCAACCGTTTTCTTATTTGAAGCATCGGCTCGATTGCGCAAGCGACAGTTTGTGAGAGTAAGTTCGTCAAACTCTATAGTTACTTCGTGGGCTTTTGACGTCCTCATGAACGCCAGGGACAGCAACACTGCACACAACGAGTACATCATCATCATAGCGGGTTTGTGGTCTGGGCTCTGCGCTGAAAACCACCTAAACTCTCCTCTTATGTACGTGGTTCGGGTGTCAAGTGGTCAAACTGTTTCGCGCATGCCTAAGCTTAGAACAGGAAACGGCATTACTACTCTGTGCTACGATAAGACATAGATGAAATATTTACTGGAGTAGGTTATGTCAAGATCCTGATTTGCAGGATGTAACGGGACATTTAAAGCATGGCCTTAATCGTACTATTGAAATGTAACATCCTTATACAGCTCTGTCGCTCCCTGTCGGTGGGTGCACGGGTGGATCAGTCGTCTGAGGCGCCGCGATTCTCTGTGCAGATTTGCGTCCCTTGGGCATGCCAGAAACCTATGATTGTGGGTTCGAATCCCGATTCGCCCCAATTGTTTCTAGGTTTGTCAGCACCATACCCGTGCTCGTGGGTTTCACCGAGGTGGTAAACGTCTGAGACCTGCATTACTTCGGGCTTTCCTCTCACATTAAGCTGACATGATATACCTGGAATACTGTTAAAAGCGGCGTTAAACCCAACTCACTCATAATATCAGTCACTGGGTTGTCTGGCCCTGATTCAATCGTTTACAGGCCGACGTCATATAGCTGGAATATTTTTAAACAACGAACAAACTATAACCCGTGAAGATGTATGCCGAATAAAACGTCAACACATTGAAACATATCTGACAAATACATTCATTCATACACTCAAATTCATGAAGAAACTTTAAAAGTTGAACAATGATGAGGGTTTGATAAAGTATTAGTTTAAAGTGTGCTTATAATTTATGTTCTGTACTAAAGGCAGTTCAATTATTGTTTGCAAAATGACGAGAATAAGGTTTGTGACATTCCTACAATTATCAGAATTCCACAAAAACTCATGCTAAGTCTCAGTTTGAACGAGTGGCACCAACCAGCTGACTCCATACAGGTCGGAAGTGTCTGGTAGTTACAGGGGGCACGGTTTCCCAGTCGTTTAAAGCGCCGTAATTCGCTGTGCATAGTTGCGTCCCTTGGGCACACCAGAAACCTATGATCGTGGGCTCGAATCGCTGTTCGTCGATCATGTTTCTAGGTTCATCAGCACCATGCCCATACTGGTTGGTTTTACCGAAGTGGTGAACGTCTGAGACCTGCATCACTTCGGGCTTTCTTACTACATTCGGCTGACAGGAAGTCATGAAACACTGTTCAAAGCGGCATTAAACCAATCTCACTCACTCACCCAGACAGTTAAAATCATCTCTGTACAAGTCAGGGAGTCAGACCCTATGAAGGTTTGTGTTGTCTGACTCGTCTGAGTATCGTCTGTTAGGCTGAAAGCGTCAGGGAAATAAACGTTACTCTGTAAAGGTTTGTGTTGCCTGACTCGTCTGAGTATCGTCTGTTAGGTTGAAAGCGTCAGGGAAATAAACGTTACTCTATGAAGGTTTGTGTTGCCTGACTCGTCTGAGTATCGTCTGTTAGGTTGAAAGCGTCAGGGAAATATACGTTACTCTGTGAAGGTTTGTGTTGTCTGACTCGTCTGAGTATCGTCTGTTAGGTTGAAAGCGTCAGGGAAAAAAACGTTACTCTGTGAAGGTTTGTGTTGCCTGACTCGTCTGAGTATCGTCTGTTAGGTTGAAAGCGTCAGGGAAATAAACGTTACTCTATGAAGGTTTGTGTTGCCTGACTCGTCTGAGTATCGTCTGTTAGGTTGAAAGCGTCAGGGAAATATACGTTACTCTGTGAAGGTTTGTGTTGTCTGACTCGTCTGAGTATCGTCTGTTAGGTTGAAAGCGTCAGGGAAATATACGTTACTCTGTGAAGGTTTGTGTTGTCTGACTCGTCTGAGTATCGTCTGTTAGGTTGAAAGCGTCAGGGAAATAAACGTTACTCTGTGAAAGTTTGTGTTGCCTGTAGAATATTTACACATATAATGAGTAATCTTAACCTCTTGCACCAGTTCGATCAATGGGAATTATGTTATGAAGTTATACAGTTATAAAAACATCATAGTCACAAATGTGACACAGCAGTATCAAGAAATACCAGGCAAAACATTTGTCTTAAATTAATAGTGTGTAAAAGAGAAGTATAAAAACATAATACACATGTTGTGTTCATTCGATTTTGTGTCAACCTTTGTCAACTTCAGTGTATGGTCTTCATCTCCTGACCGCCTCCGTGGTCTAGTGGTAGAGCGTCCGCCCGGAGAGCGGAAGGTCCGGGGTTCGATCCCCGACCGCGTCATACCAAAATACGTCAAAAGATGGTACTTGTTGTTACCCTGTCTGGCGCTCGGCATGAAAGGGCTCAAACAAGGACTGGTCGGCTCGGAGTCAGTATACTGTGTCTGAGTGGGGTATTCATGTTAAACTGCGGCATGATATCTCAGTTAGCGAGCACTTTAAATCGGCATCAGTCCGGACTAGTACAAGCAGCCACACACACACACACACGTACATGCACGTCGCTATATAAGTGCAATAATCTTGGACCTCACCTCTTCATCTCCTGCGTGGTCAGCACTGCTCTCAGGGTAGTGACATACATCAACTAGATGGTGTAAGAACCTGAGTTGTTTCCACATCATCTGACCTCAAAGTCTGACCTGAAGACGCGTCATCACACTGTCCATATACTATGCCAAAAGAGTAGGGGATAATGGGTATCATCAAGACAGATCTTCTGATCTACATTGGACTGGCAAATGGAAATAATATGGTCATATCTGCTGGGGAGTAGGCGATCAGATCTAATGGGTTCAAATGGTTGGTGTGATAAAATGGAGACGCACGAATTCGAAATTTGCATTTTGCAGCCAACGTCACTAATATCGGGTAAAACCACCTTAGTTGGCCAGAAAATCGCGAATTCGTCAAGGCATGCTTCTGATGAGTCGACCAATGTCAGCTTGACTCATGGTGTTCCACTCATCAGTGAGATCAACACCGACACAACTGGCACCACGAGTGGCTCAATGTTGTTGTCCTGATACTATTGACTGTGACTCTGCCATGGATAATACGGAGCGCAGTTAGAAAACAAAACTTTAGCCCAACGTCTATTATCTCAGTGCTGACACCACTGGCGCCTCAGCTTCCAATGACGTGCAGTAAGTTTTGGGATGACACGTGGACGTCCTGCACGCACGATTTCGCTTCATGTGGGCATGTACTGTTGCAACCGCTCCCTTATCTGAGTGGCAGTTTGCTACATATTTCTTAATGACATCGTTCTGACTTATCAGATTGAGAAACATGTAGCGTTTGGGCAACAATATTCTGACTTGTGCTTACCTGTAACATGCCTAGGACACGACAACGTCCAGAACGTTGATAAAGCTGCATGATCAATGCTATTGCTTCCTAAATGATTAAATGTGTTGAATAAAGTGTCTTCAAGCGGTTAGTTCCAAGTAAACATTATGCGTCTGCTCACAACCGAGTCTGAGTGACAGTGGTAAATCTGACATACCACCCCTTGCACGTGTTGTCCGAGGTCACGTGCGTTATGACTGTCACAATGTTGTTTTGGGGAGCTTTGTTTCTTCTGAAATGTTCTTGCCACATAAATCACGTACTTGTACTGCCAGACATAGGTGTATTTTTTCCTGAAGTTTCACCTCAAACAAAATATCCTCTACTTTATTTTACGTAGTATACAAGATATGTGCCCATATTAACGATTCTTATATTTTACCTGCGGTTCAATTGATCATCTGCTGTTCTTACAAACCTTATCACTGACGATCGCCATTATGGTGAATTTGACCTGCTCCAGAAGTAAACCAAAATGTAATCTATTTCAGATTGAGCATTGGGTGTCACGTACGCCTTTTTCGGTAAATATCCTTTTAGAAAACGACGACTTGGCATGTTGTGTTCGATCATATCTTTTATACGCATTGACTTTGGCCTATGTTGTTACACGTCAGGAAATGTCCCAAACATATATTGGTTTTATATCAAGTTTGAAAGCTCAATGTATACCCAAACATACTTTTCGATTTTGTCAATATTGTTGTTAAAAATGATGGTGAAAACTGCGTGACATTCCTTACACTGATGTGTCCAATGATAACGGTTTACTCCATATTTAATCGGTCTAAATCAAATTTATGTTTTTTTTATTTGTCAGAACATTTGAACATGGTAGGTTGGATGTGAGGATGGTTTCGGGTTCAAGTGCAATGATTGGGAGGGCTGGCTGTCAAGACTGAAGACGGACCAATGATAACTTGTCACATTATTACATCAAGGTTACGTATTCCATGTACTGTGATATGTTTAACATAATTTTGGGACAGTTTAGATAACGATCATTGGAGTTGTTATACACTTATAATCATTAGGGACGGTGGAGTAGCCTAGTGGTTAAATCGTTCGCTCGTCACGCCGAAAGGCCCGGGTTCGATTTCCCACATGGGTACAATGTGTGAAGCATATTTCTGGTGTCTCCCGCTGTGATATTGCTGGAATATTGCTAAAAGCGGCGTAAAACCATACTCACTCACTCACTATAATAATTAATCCAGCAACGTTTTTGATATTCATTTAACTTTTTTGAAAAAATGCAATTAAAGAAGACATAAATTAGATTAATATTTAAAACCTAAAAGGAGATAATAAGAATCAAAAGGAAATATGATAACACATATAATATAATATAACACATATAATATAAGTACTTTTGTTAAGAATGTACGGTTGCACACGATACAAGTGTGAAGAAAATATGAAAATACACGATATATGTACATGTATTAAGAAAGCAAGGTTGATCACCTTTATATTGTTATGAAAATTAATATGTCAAAAACATTAATGTCTTACATGTTCGTATCAAGAAATGTTCGGTTGCTACATGTGCGTTTTAGGAAAGGTAAGGTTACGTAATATGAATGTGAAAAGCACAATATTTTTACACAACACGTTCGTGTTAACAAAAGTTCGACTACGCAACAGCTACGTTTTAGGAAATGCAAATGTGTAAAGAAAAGTAAGATCGCTCACAATTGAAGTGTGGAAGGAAGCAGCACAAGGTGTATGTGTTCAGCGACTAAGGTAGCCAATTTTGAACATTAAGAGGAATGCAATACTTCTGACCATC